TTTATCACCACCCAAATTTGCCATTTGGGAGTCTCAGGGCAGGCTTGCATTGGTAAAGCAATTTCTGAGCATTTCCTCTTCTTGAGATATTCTGCCAATATCCAGATAAACATGATCACATTGATGTTCCACACTCTGATCTCAGTCCCATTGGTGAAGAAATTCACAAGACATTTACTGTACCCTGTGTGGTTTTCCAGTTGTGTTGACCCAGGCTAGACATAGTGAAGGAAATAAGTTCTTGGTTTACCATCTTAGCTCTTCTATGTCAGATCCTGCCAGGAGAGGAAAAAAAAAAAAAGCCAAGGAAGAAGCCAGCATTCAATAGTTGTCTTGAAACTAAAACATGATGAGTGCCCTTGGCAGGCATGGTGCCCTCCTTCCTTCACCATTTGCCCTCTATGGTGAGTCTAGTCCCAACAGAATCATGATATCACTGTCCATATGGATGGGCATGAATAACAGAGAAGTTCAGAGGGCAAGGCCAGTGTCTCTGTGCTCTCAACCCGCCTCTCCAGGGAGGCGCTTTGTCAATATCCCCAGTGTACCTCTTCTTTCCTTGGTGCCACCGCTTCCAGAACCGTGGAGTGAACACCTTCCTTTTCACAAAAAGTTTTTGATGGCTGATGGGTGTGGGGCTTCTTTATGAGCTGATGAAATGTTATTGAATTAAACAGTAATGATAGTTGCACAACTTTGTGCATATACTAAAAACCACTGAATTATATACTTTGAAAGGGTGAATTTTATGGTATGTGAATTATATCTCAATTTTAAAAGCAGTCAAAGGATACTAAGATCCTGTACAAAAGAATTAAAATATTGAAGCACAAAAGCTCCTGAAAGACCAGTTGGACTTTCTACCCAAGTGCTCCCTTTCTCTGTGCATGTTCTGAGGTCATGTCATCCGGTGCATGTGTTGCGGGTAGAGAGGATCTGATAGTTCATCCATCTCAGTCCCTGTTCTGTGTCAGACTGGAGTGACCTTGGCACAGGCATTTCCTTTTCTTTGCTTCTACAGTTAGAGCAGAGGTAATGAGCCTGACCTACTTGATGAGGATCACCTGAGAAATAAAAATCTGGTTTGTTAAGCAATTTAGAGGTATGAAGTGATAGATCCCTCTGAATAGTTATAGGAAGGGCTGAGCAGCACCCAGACGTGTGTGGAATAAATCCCAGGCTGGGAGTGGGTGCAGGCAGGAGGCTGGATGTGTGCTGCTCCAGGTGATTTAATTATGCCATTAGTTGCTCTATTAGGAGAGATGACTGCTTGTGATTTTTATGTCTGTAGTGAGGAGACAGAGTTTGGTTTCTGCTGCAATGACAGGACAGGGACAAGAAAAGTGTGTTTCCCAGGAGAAGTATCCCTGGGAAACTTTGATATGAGGGCAGGAGGAGTGGTTGGAAGGATCAGTGCCCAAGCAGAGTTTATGATCAGTGGGCCTGCACCGAGGAGTCTGTGGCTGCTGCTGCTCTGAGGTGCACCCTCAAACACACGCCCCAGGGTTTCTCTTCACATGGAAGCCTGGAAAGCCTCCTTGTAGGAAAGGTTGACCTGGAAGGCCATGTCACTGCCTCACTTCACAAATGAGGTCTTGCCTGCAGCAAACTAGGGCTGGGGTGAAGAGATATTCCATTCTCTTTCTGTGCCTGACTTGTTTCACTTAATATAATTCTCTCAAGGTCCATCCATGTTGTTGCAAATGGCAGTATTTCATTTGTTTTTATAGCTGAGTAGTATTCCATTGTGTAGATATACCACAGTTTCNTTGTATATCATCCTTAGAGAAATGCCTACTTAGCTCTTTTGCCCATTTTTTAATTGGGTTGTGGTAGGAGATAAAAATAAATAAATAAATTCACACACACATACACACACACAAAAACGGGGGGGGAGAAGACACAACAATTACAAATCCTTGAAGCTGACATGACAAGCATGCAGAAAGGACATTGTTGGGTGGGAGG